AAAACGCTTTCCCGCCAAAAAAACTTTCACGTGCCCCTACGTGAGAACCACGCGGACCTGAGCGTCAATTTTGAGAATACGAGTCTGCACGCATGTCTAGATTAAGTCACCAAATTTTCAGTCTTGCAGCTATTGTGGATCTCGAGATGAAAACTCGTTACAGACGCACACACAGACACATACAGACACACACACACACACAAACAACCGCTCGACAATATGCGTTTTTGCATTGCATAGATGCAAAAAACGCATAAAAACTCGGAAGTTGAAAATTTAAGGAATTTTCCTCCACCCATGTGTGACTCCGCAAATTTAAATTCAGCCTTCCTGTACGCGCGAGTAACACGTTTGGTTCTGTAAAAATTTTGCTGGAGAAGATAATTATCTCGGGAACCATGGAAGCTAGAAAGCTGAAATTTTATGGGTATATATCTTGCCTTTGTGTGATTCCGAAAATTTAGATGCAGCCTCCCCCTATTAGCGAGTACCATATGCAGCCCCATGAAACTTTTAGCAGGTAAACTATCATCTCGGGAACCGCGGAATCTACAAGGCTGAAATTTTAGGGTAATGATCCCCTGCCCATGGATGACCTAAACAAATTCAAATTCAGCGTTCCCACGCTCTTGAGTATCACCTAACTCCCTGTGAAACTTTTGGCGAGTAAATTATTATCTCAAGAACCACTGAATCTAGGAAACTGAAATTTTGGAGAACTGTTCGCTCTCCATGTGCAACCCCTCAAATTTAAATTTAGAGCATTGAAAATCATTAGCAGGCAATCGTTCAGTGAATAGAATTGCACAAAACGCATAATCGCACCGGCTACCCTGGTGCGTGCCGATATTTATTTCTTTTACGCTTGATTTTGCCGTGAAGTTATTGCAGCCATTGCAAAATTTTTCACTGTGGCTCAAGTTCAAAACTGCACTTTGAAAGGCATACACTCTTTCAGACTGTTTTTCATTTTTCTTTTCTTGCCAAATTTATTTTTTGAGTTTTGGCCGATACATGTTTTGCCCCATGTTTCACTTAACAAAAAATTGGCAACACAGGCTTTAGACAGTGAAAGATTTACAATGCTACGTTGTACTTGGCCATTTTAGACCGTTTCAACACCTTCCGCGCATGAATCAGAGGATCAGGACACCGCACTGTCACATGCCGAAGAGGAGACTCGTGCACATGTGGAATTGGAGTTGGCGAGCACTCGAATAGCCTTGGATGAGCTTAGGCTGGAACATCGAAGAGTTACTCAGGAAAACGAGGAATTACGCAGGTAAGCTTCCCGATCTGAGTTGTCCCAAAGTATTACCTCCGTCACTGCATGTATGGATGTCCTGGCAAGCTGTTTTGCAGTAAGTGCTTATGTTAAGCCCCATACGTGGTCCTTGACTGCAGCAGCGATGGACAGGGAAGCGACAGCAGCAGTTTATTCTTCTAATAAACACTTCACTCCAGAGAAAACGCCGAAGATGACGCGTAAACGATGGGCCGGGGCACTGCACAAGCTGTGCAACAGAATAACAATGGCAGACGGGGAGGCGAGACGCTTGCAGCGTTGGACGGTCGAACGGCACCGTATACTGACGATTTCCACCAACTAACTGACTGACAGTTTGGATTTAGGAGGGGGTTTATATAGGGAAGATTAATGGAGGGGAAAGGTGGGCAAGTTAGCTAATGATTGGGAAGGTAGATAATATAGAAACATTTAGAATTTGGTGGAAATGTTAGAAGTTAGTAAGAGGAGTGGGGAGGGAGGGAGGGAAGGAAGTAGGTCGAAGTATTAGTAATTAGTGGGAAGAGGGAAATGGTGTAATTATAGGGTTACACTTATTTAATGTGTTGTTCCGCTTGTTTGGTATGTTTCCTAAGCTTTAAAAACAAACGAATACACTCCCATACTTTTTTGTACTTTATGCAAATGAAGTATTTCTCGACATGTTGATTTGTAGGGTATGTCTAAGTAAATGAACTTCTGAGCTACGGGAACTAGGACTTGGAATTTTGGAGTGTAGTTCTTTTTGTTATGAGAGGCTAAAAAC